ATATGTGTAGGCTGTAGTGGGGTAGCCAATATGGGGTACAGCCCTTTGTAGGGTTTCATACTTGTACCCAACTCTTCCATAGTTGATTCATTCCTGTCTCTAGATTCTAACAGAGAGATAAGGCATGCAGATGACAGAGGCGAAGAGCAGGCATCCCAGTTGCTGCTGGTAGGTCTGAAGTCCAGCGGGGGACAGGGCTTTGTTGTGAGGTTTGTGGTTCGGTCCCGGTGTGCGTTAAGGGGTGGAGAGCGGTGCAGGCGCGATGTTGAAGCGTTTGCCAAGTTTCTTCTGCATACTTGGCAGCTGAAAGATTAATAGCGTCTGGTGCGTAGGAGATGTTGAGGCCGAGGAACTGATTTACGTCATGGTTGCAGGTGATGTCGACGCACCCTGCAAGGTTCTTCTCGAACTGCTCAAGTAACTCGTCCGCTTGCGCTTACCTACTACGTTCACAATGCTTCCCATGTTCAGCTACTAAAGCGCTACAAGGACCCCAACCAGCAGTTTCAGGGACGACAGCTACTGCCACCACCACCTGTTCTCATGCAGGATGAACTAGAGTACGAAGTGGAGCACGTTCTCACTCATCGGCGCCGCGGCGGCAAAACCCTCGGGTTCCTGATACGCTGGAAAGGTTATGACCCCACCAAGAACAGTTGGGCTGCAGAAGCTGATATGGGCAACGCACGCCGTGCTCTCAAGGACTATCTTGTCAAGCAGGGTGTATCTCACGCCACCCAGATTTGAGGAGGGGACGTGTGACAGTACGACGGCTTATGCTTGGCTTTGCTAGCTTGCCTTGACTTTATTATGCTATTACTAGCTTCGGTTTTATTTATCATGCATAGATATGCTTGATTTTCTACGTTAGGTGCATTTTTATGTTCTATTATAGTTATATCACCGAACCATGTTACTTGTACCGAACTCAGGCCTTTTCGGTTGCCGCCGAATTGCTCTCTATCGAGTTCGGAAAGGTTCTGGTCAGGACGCTTCGCGACCCTCATAACATTCGCGTAACACATGGGTTACCTGCCTTGTGTCGAGACTATATATAGCTTCGTGTTGTACACAGGCAAATCAATCATTTTACAACCCACTTTTCTGAGATCGATCCTCGATCCTCACAAAGCTGATATGGGCAACGTTCGCCTTGCTTTCAAGGATTATCTTGTCAAGCAGGGTGGTTCTCATGCCACCCAGCTTTGGGGGGTGGACGTGTGAGAGTACGACAACTTTGCTGGACTTTATTGCTTGATTTTGCTTTATTATGCATTATCTAGCTTAGCTTTGTTTTATCTTGCATGTTTTGCTTGATTTCCTAGTTTCGTTGCTGAACTATAGTTATTATAGTTATAGGCACCGAAATAGGTTGAGTGCACTGAATTCTAGGCTTTTCGGTTGCCACCAAATTGCCTTCTACCGAATTTGGGAAAAACCCGTTCAAGACGCTTCGCGACCCACGGAACCTTCTCGTAACACCCGGGTTACTGCCTTTGTGTTGAGCCTATATATAGCCTCGTGTTGTACCCAGGTGATCATATTATACTTTCTGAACCAGTTCCTTCGATCCTCACAAACAAGGTGCGGGTACCACGGGAGGCAGCTACAGCGTAAGCACTGGTCTCAGCCTCCAAGAGTCGTGACTCAACGAGGCTAGGGTGAGCTCGGTGGGTCGAGAGAGAGGAAGTGGTCTTGGATGGGGCAATGGGAGTCAAAGAGGGAGTTCTCAGCCAGAAACTCTGGCTTGAGAGCAGCACGATGGCGAAGGTTATTGGAGCGCAGGTGAGTCATGAGGTCAGCGTCAGTGGGGATGTTGGACTGAGGTACGGCAGAAGCGGGCGGCCTAGGACGGCAAAGGAGGGGGAGAAATAGTGTTTCACTACAGCGTCGTAGAGCGCTTTGGCCGTTTTTAGCTGGCGAAAGTGGGCTCGCTGGTCGGACGGGAGGTGGTTGCGGACTGCAAGCGCCGCAGTGGCATCCCGAGCTAACCACCGTGTACTAGCTATTTGGTAAGCCTTATACTACTGCTGTGCTTCTGCTGTCGCGGTAGGGGCAGGCGCAGTCGGAGTGGGGTGAGGAGAGGGAGCCTGAGGTGTGCTCAAATAGAGATAAGTTGTCCTTGGTAACGCTAAGAAGGTACAAGTAAAGCCCCTCGAGCCAGAACTCGTAATCGACAGGGCTACCCTCGGCATCAAACTCCAGTACAGTGGGAGTCGCTATAGTGAGCAGTTCGGCCTAGCGACAGTGACGAAGAAGGCAGTGAAAGGGGCAGTGCTAGGATGGAGAGGCAGCAGTAGGCCCGGGCGACACGGATAGGGCGGCTCGGCAGGGCGGCTCAGCAGGGCGGCTCGGCGCAGAGTGCGGCAATGTGGGCAGCGCGGGCGGCAATGCGAGTGGTTGGGCTGAAGTGGGCGGCGGGGCTGTAGCGTGGGTGGCAGTAAGGGCAGCAGCAGAGCGAGCAGCAGCGCAGCAGCTCGTGTGGGGCAGCGTGCGGTTGGGCAGCGCGCAGGCGCGGCGCGCAGCAGGGCGGCTCGTGGGTAGCGCGGCGTGCGGCGAATGGGGTGCAGCGGATCGCAGTAGCGGCGTGCGGCAGGCGGTGCAACGTGCGACGTGCTGGGCAGCGGGGCACGAAAAAAAAAAAAAAAACGGTCCTAATGACCTACTGTACGTAATCTGAAACCATGATAGAAACAAAGCCGCATGAATGATTTGCATAGAAAGAGAACTGGTGCAACTACCTAACCCTAAAAGGGTCATACCCCTTAGACTAGAGAGTAACCCACTACAGCCTTCACACGTACCGTCTGGCCCAGGATAGTAGCGCATATGCGCTTATAACAAATTCATTTTTTTCAAGGGGGGCGCTTGTATTTGAGTAACGGCCATAAGCGCCGGCGCTTATAAAATGACAAATACATAAATACAATTTAAACGAAACAAGTTGTACATTTCAGTCTCGTAAATTCAATGGAATCGAAGATTTACAGCGTCCTAAATCAAAATCGCGCAAGGGTTATTCTCTGACGGTGCACAGAGCTATGGCACGTCACTTCGCAGCCGTACCAGCTCATCCTGACTGGACGCACAACCATTGAGGCCCTCGAAAGTCACAAAGTTCAAAATGGGTGCTGGTTCGCTGCAAATTTGAAAATCGTTATCGTTTTAATCAGGATTGGAAATTTAAAAATGATGCATGCGCTTAAAATATTGTTGACTACTGTTGGGATCTAGAGGCTACTAAGCACACCTTTAATTCACACTTAACAGTCCCCACGGGGTCACCTCCAAGGGTCCTTGGGTGCCTGGCAAGGCCAGCCCCTATCCAAGGGTCCGTGTTATGTCGAGGGACACGCCAAGTATGGAAACAATCGCGTGCACTAGAGCATTTCCAAGACTCCTTGCGCAGCGTTATGACGACGAACTGGTCGTGTGCGGAAAGTTCTCTTCACGTCAATACGATGATAGAGAAAAACTTCACTAAATGGATTGATTTACAACTGAGCACAAGCACGCATTTATATTTCGCCTAGCACACAAGCATAAGAAAGCACAGAGCAGTTGTTTAACTATACTTCAGGACTTCGCCAGATGCGCCAAGGAAAACGGTTGTCGAACTGCTTCGGAATTTGGCTTGGTTCTCCCCTGTAGAATAACTGTCTTCAGATTTCATGTCTACAAAATTCCCTGCTGACTCCCCTCGTGAACGTTCGCGACTTCTCGTGCGCAATCATATACACTCGTGTGAGATTACGTTTTCACGAAGTCTCACAGTTGAAAAACGGTTTTCACAGTTTTTCTCCTGTATCGAAATTGTCCCTTTACGCGCGCGATCTTTCCAGCGAAGTTATCTGTAAGTCGAGTCAACGCGGGATACGGTTTTTCAACCGTAATCACGAGCACCCCACGACTGCAATCATGCACGACCGATATTTCGGTCGTGCTGTACAGTGCTCTGTACTGCGCGTGGGCAGGCCGATCATTCGCCCTGTCCTGTTGCGATCGTGGGCCATGCCACGCTCGCAACAGTGCGAAGGCACACGCGCGGGCCTGAGGTCCCACACGCACGATCAGGACCCCACGCGCGGGTCCCGATTTCCTCGCGCGGTTGACCTTGACCATCGAGAGAAATATCCAAGGGTCAACATTGATGAAATCACAAACATTCACGAACAGCGCACAAACTTCACGGAATTTCATGAACACAGTCACAAACACAAAAATCACGAACATAGAATTAACGCACACTTATGAGAACTCGCGAAGCAACGCAAACGCACACGAAGTCTTGCATTCACACACGGACATTCACGAACACTCAGGAACGCAACCTTTCACGAAAACTCACAAAACTCATGAACCGTTGAGGCGATTCACGAGCCGTAAACACAGAAGCGCACCTCACGAAAAAAACGCAACTCGCACACAACAAGTTACCTTCAGAACAAACACCTCACTTTCACTCAACGTCGACAAATAGGCGGTAGGTTGTCGTGCAAACCATGTATTGCACTCAACAAATATATCAGGGTTTTACAGGGGGGCGCTTATAATCGAGTTATGGCCATAAGCGCCATGCTCCAGATATAAGCGCCGGCGCCTTTAATATGACGGCGCCTATATCCAGGGCCGTACGGTATGTATAGCATTTTGACAAATGACTGTCACGCGCACCTTGGTTGTGACTTCTTTCACGAGATCTGCATCTAGCTCTTTATCAGAGTCATCCTCATTGAAGTCATCATCACCAGCTCACTCCAAGTCAGGCCCTCAGATTGGTTTGAGGGTATGCCGATGGATCAACGTGCCCTTGCCAACCAGGTGTCCAAATCAGCGTTCGTGGTTTTGTTTATACTGGTTTTGTCAGTGTAAAAATTCATACTGAACTGAAACAGCAGTGTAAAAAAACCATCAGAGCTGATGCAACAGTGCATGCATGTTTAATCACGTTATCATTGTGACAGCACTAGATCTGGCTGGATTCTGAAATTACTACTAACTCACATCTCATCATCCGAATCACTCTCATCATCACCACTACTGCTACCGGCACCATCACTCTCACCGTCATCGCCTACAGAACCATGCATGCCCGTGCCCTCGTCTAGCTCCTCCTCCTCCACTTGCAGCACCCGACGGCCACTCCCCTTAACAAACTTGGCCCGCTCCTTCTCTGGCGCAGCTTGCTCCTTGCGCTTGCTGGGGTGCCTTTTCCTGGTGCTCCTCTAGATGTCCACCACCTTCTCCCACTCCATGTCGTAGTCGAGCAGGCTCATTGCCAACAGATCTCCTAGCTTGGCGTTGCAGAGGCTCGTCCGTCGCCACGACTTGATGACATTCTGGCGGGATTACTCGCGTTCAGACTCGACTGTGCTGAGTGGCAGAACAGCGACCGCAGCCCACAGATGGACTAGGTTGGGGTAGCTGGTCTGCCAATCGCTGGTCTGCAAGATGGCCTTCAAACCTGCATGAAAGGGCTGCTCCTCGTTGGGGGCAGTGGAGAGCACCGGCAAAAACGTGCGCAGCTCCGCTCGTGCTTCATGATTCTGGACACACTGCCAAACGGGAAAGCACAACCGGGTAGAACGTCAAACACACAAAATGGGAAGAACGTCAACCACGGAAACGTGCATGCACACATGCAGGTCAGGGTTCTATGTCTAGCTCACCAGACAAAATGGTGTCCCGGTTCTTGGCCTGAAAGAGATGGACGAGGCCGTGCAGGTGCTCCTTGCACTCTGCATCTCTTGCCTCGACGCCCCTCGGCCACGAGCGGGGCATGAAGAGCTTCGCCCCGTTCAAGCGCGTCAGGTCCCCCAAGCGCAGCTCGAGGTTGTACACCAGCTCGCGGGCGAATGAGCGGTAGCAGGTGTAACATCCTTGCATGTCTCCAGTGCCAGTGGTGTATCCCTTCATAGATTCCTCATGCAGCTAAAACTTGTGTACCCGGGGCTGACCCCCCTTCTCCACCCCCTCCACGGTCACTTCACGGCAGTCGGGCAAGGCGTGCCGCGCGAGGAATGCAGACAGCAGCTCGCGTCCCACCGCCAAACTGCTGGCCACAGTTCAGGTACCTTTGCTCGATGTAGATGATGGTCCGCCTCACCTGAGAGTGTTGGTGCAACCCTACGGTTTGCACTCGGCTTGTTGTCCGTGTGCGTGAATGTGTGTGTGTATGGAATGGTATGAGGGCATGGGATAATATATATTTCATGCTTATAATTGTGTGTGAATGTTGAGTCATGATGTCGAGTGTGTGTGTCGAGTCAATAGCGAGTTATCGCTAGACGCGTGTTACGCGGTCGTTTGTGTCTCGCGCGCGGTTTCTATTTTGTCGTGCGCGGTTTCTATTTTGTCCTGTGTCGAACGTTCGGCGTGTCGCAGGTGTGTGCAGCAGACCCATCAAGAACTCAAGGATGAGTTTGTGATGAAGAGCCCGAGCTTTGGTGTCAAGCCTCAAGTGATTTCGAAGCTTGCCAAAAGGGTACACCTCAAGATATTGAAGATAGTTACATTACTTTGTGTAGTGTAACATTTCACTTGGTGTAGGCCCTAGTGAAGGGTAGTTTCGAGACACTTCGTGGTTGGGGACAGTGTGGCACTGTTCCACATCACTGTACCTCGGCTCTTGGGGTTTGTAGGAGCTGGGAGTCATTCCCAACTCGTAACTCTTCCTATCTTGTGTTCTAAGACTATAGTGGCTGCCATAGTACCGTTCGTTCAAACCAACGCTGTGTCGTCAATTCTTTATCAAATCGTGCAATCTAAATTGCTAATTGTAGACGACGTGAAGACGCTCCAGATCCAATTTGAATCAAGTCATTTGCAGCTGTGAGCAGAACGCTATCAACATTTGAAGCCGCTGTGCAGAAATCCGTCTGTGCTCTCTATCTTTCGTTTTAGGCACATTCAAGCCTATTGTGACTATAACAAGTGGTATCAGAGCCCCTTGGAGCAGTTTCGACAATGTCTGGACCTGAGGAAAGGGGTGGCAGAGGTGCTGGTGGCAGTGGAGAAGCTCAAGCTCAAGGCCAACCCCGTGATTCAGCCATGGCGCCCATGCAACCAAGTCTTGGCCCACCTAGGGATGAGCCTAGGGTGTTTGGGCTTGACAAGTTCAACGGTGACAACTTTGCTGAATGGTCCTTCCAGATGGAGAACATCTTTGACCACTATGACCTGCTGGAGGTGATGGAAGGAACGGAGAAGCGCCCCGAGAACGACCCGGAGAAGAGCCCGTGTGGCGGCACTACGAATTGAAGAAGACGAAGCGGTTGAAGAAGGGGTGCAGAAATTCTTCGACTTGTTGACGCGGCTTGAGGGAGCTGATTTGAACCACAGTGAGCTCCAAAAGAAGACCAAGTTGCTGGCCTTACTCCCAGAGTCATGGTCCTCGCTCATCATCAACCTTAATCGCGACTTGCCCCGCCTCTCGCTTGAAGACGTGAAGCGAGCTATCCTTCAAGAGGATTTCCGCCGCCGTGAGTTGGCGAGTGCGGATGGCGCTGGGGCAGCGAGCATCGGCCGTGGATATGGTCAAGGAAGAGGCAGAGGACGAGGGGGAGGAAGGTTTGGTGGCAGCAACTTCGGCGGAGGCCGCGGGAGTGGCGGTTACGGCAGCGACGACAAGAGCTACGGACGCGGTCGCGGCCGATTCGACGGCGAGTGTCACTATTGCCACAAGAGCGGACACATGTGGCGCGACTGTTACAAACTCCCTGATGGTTGGACCCCTGCTCAAGGCCAAGAGGGTAGAGGAGCAGGAGGAGGGAGAGGACGAGGCCGTGGAGGCCGTGGCGGTCGCGGTGGCGGAGCTGCAAACATGAAGAGCGGAGACAACGACAAGGACCCGAGCGACGATCGATACCCGGGTCTATTCTACTTCGTGTCGACGCAAGTACCGGCTGGTCCAGAGAAGGATGAAGGCTTTGAGGAGCCAGCAGCTGTGGGGAAGGTGACCCTACACCCCCTGGACTATTGGGTGATTGATAGTGGCGCTACCTATAGCATGACACCTCGCCCGGACTTGCTCACCGAACTCGAGCCGTCACCGGTGAAGCATGTCACATCGGCTTTGGGGCAGCGAGCAGAGGTGAAAGGCATGGGCAAGGCCATGTTCAGGGGTGCTGATGGGAAGATGGTGGGCCTCAAGAACGTGCTTTGGGTGCCCAGCCTTGCTGCAAACCTGATTTCCGTGCGGCGGTTGGCAAAGGCCGGCATGGACACGAACTCGAAGGGAGCCAAGACCTACACCGCAAGGCTTGGCGATCGAATTCTTTGGGACCTTCATGAGGACAGGGATGTCTACAACGAGATGTGGCAGATCCCAGTGGTCCTTATGCCTAAGGAGAGGCAAGTGGCAGCAAGCATCAGCACCAAGGATGGAGCGGTCGGTAGCGACGATGGCGCGAACGGTCGCGCTAAGGAGAATGAGCTCAAGAAGAGCAAACCTGGAGGGACCAGCAAGTTCAGTGAACCTAAGGAGAGTGGTGCAGCAACCAAGGAGCAGCAAAAGGGTGAGGAGAACCCAGAGGCAGCAGCGGAGGAGGACTACGGAGAGAGTATGTGGGGCGCTATTGCGAGCGCGGCATTCTCCAATCCAACTTCGGCTACGGGGGAGTGTAATTGGCTCACCTTGCATCGGCGCATGGGGCATGTGGCCCTGCCCATCTTGCAGCAGCTAGTGAAGAATGAGATGGTTGCTGGCATACGTGTGAAGGGGGAGCCCGATGAGGTGCTTGGCTGCCCGACGTGCATTCAAGCCAAGTTCACCCGGTTTCCGTTCCCTAGTTCGGAGGCAACGGCAAAGGCACCGCTTGATGAGGTGGTGATGGACGTGGTGGGCCCCCTGAAGCTTGGAGCTGCTGGAGCTGAGTATTTTCTCACCATTGTCGACGTCTACACCCGCATGACTTGGGTGTATCTGCTGGTCAAGAAGAGCGACGTGGCTGAAACGTTGAAGACGGATTGGTTCCCGATGGTGGAGCGGCAACAAGACCGTCTAGTCAAGTCAATCCGCACCGATCGAGGGGGAGAGTTCCTGAGCAAGGAGTTTGGGTTGTGGCTGAAGAAGAATGGTATTCGGCACTCCCTCACCATGCCATACTCCCCTGCAATGAACGGCATCGCCGAGCGAGCGAACCGCACAATCACGGAGGCGGCACGCGGGTTGCTCATTGAAGCCGGGCTACCCGACTATTTCTGGCCTGATGCGGTGCGGAGCGCGTGTGTGGCCAAGAACAGAGCCTTGACTCATGTGGGAGCAGACAAATGGGTGCCCTATGTGGAGTGGCTAGGAAGGAAGCCAAAGGTGGATATGCTTCGGGTGTTCGGGTGCATGTGCATGGCGCTCGTGCCTAAGCATCTTCGGCACAACAAGCTTGGTGCCAAGGCGGTGTGGGCCGTGCACTTGGGCATGGCTCAAAACAGCAAGGGATGGCTTCTTTGGGACCCATTCACCAAGAAGTTCTTGGTGAGCAGGGACTCCAAGTTCATGGAGAACTTCATGTACAAGGATTGGAAGGCGGAGAATGAGGCGAAGATAGGCGTGCGGTTTGGGGAGGTGAAGAGTTCCGGTTTGGAGCATGTGGAGCTGCCTTTGGAGCTGAGCAGCGGCAGCACAACCACAAGGCAATCCTCCCTTGTGAATGGGGGAGAGGAGGCCAATGATGCAGAGGAAGAAGAGGAGGAGGTGCAGCAAGTGAGCGAGCGTGCACCGTCACTCCCTTCCCGTACTACGAGTGCTCCACGGATTCGAGCCACACCGCAGCAACGCCAAGGCCCTCAAGTCCCTGCAGCTGAGGAGGAAGGAAGGGGGAAGAGGAGAGTTCAACCCCCTAATAGGCTGACCTATGATGCGCCGGGAAAGCAGGGCAAGACAGCCCTGGCCGGAGCGGCAATGATGGTCGGAGACGACGAGGAGAGTGACTACGAGGAGTGTGCCTTCGCGTTCTTCTCTCCGGTGGAGATGCCGGGAGAACCAGCAACTCTCAAGGAGGCTTTGGAGAGTAGTGATGCTGAGGAGTGGAAGAAGGCCATGGAGAGTGAGCTGAAGAGCATCGAGGAGAATGACACGTTTGAATTGGTGGAGCTACCGGAGGGGCGTACGGCGATAACGTCCAAGTGGCTCTTCAAAATCAAGTCGGATGCCGACGGCAAGATCGAGCGCTACAAGTCTAGGCTTGTAGTCAAGGGGTACCAGCAGAAGGAGAAGGTGGACTTCAAGGAGCTGTTTGCCCCTGTGGTGAAGCCGACGACGCTGCGAACCCTATTCGCGGGAGCCGCCATCAAAGGATGGGTAGTAAAGCAAATGGACATCGTAACGGCATTCCTTAACGGCATCCTTGAGGAGGAGATTTTTATGGCGCAGCCAGAAGGGTTTGATGATGGTAGTGGCAGAGTGTGGAAGCTGAAGAAGGCCCTCTATGGGCTGAAGCAGGCCCCTAGGCAATGGTACATGAAGCTGCGCGAAGTGTTGGAGGGGATCGGCTTCACTCCCTCAACGGCCGATCACTCCTTGTTCATGCTTGGCGAGGGGGAGCAGAGGAGTTTCATGGTGGTTTATGTGGATGACATCCTCATTTTCTCACCCTCTTCTGACCTTGTGAAGGAGGTGATGCTGAAGCTTCAAGACAAGTTCAAGTGCAAGGCCCTTGGTGACGTGAGCTTCTACCTTGGGCTCCACATCGAACGAGATGTGGAGAAGCGGTGCATGCGGGTGCATCAACGAAAGTACCTGGAGGCATTGGCTGCCAACTTTGGGCAGAGTGAAGGCCATGTGGCTACACCCTTTCCCTCTGGGTTCAAGTGTGTGAAGGGACCAGAGGAGGAGAGCGTTGGTGAAGAGGAGAGGCGCCGATTTCACTCGTTGGTGGGCAGCCTCATGTATGCGGCGGTAAACACCCGACCGGACGTCGCGTTTGCTACCGGGCAGCTGGCTAGGGTTGTGCAATGCCCTAATGAGGAGCAGGTAGCAGCTGGAATGAGGGTGGCCAAGTATCTTGGCCAAACACCGACCGTTGGGCTGCAATACTCGGCGGCGGCACAAAGGCGCCAAAAGGGCGCGGATGGTGTTGAACCCGGGCGTTTGTTCCTCACCGCCTACTCGGATGCTTCATATGCATCAGAACCAGAGGACATGACAAGTGTGGGAGGCTTCATATGCTGTGTTGGTGGAGGCCCAACTGCTTGGGAGAGCAAGAAGCAGGTTGACCAAGCTTTGAGCTCGGTGGAGTCCGAGTACATGGCACTCTTCCGTGCCGTACGGGAGATTGTGTGGCAGCGGCGTTTGTTGGCTGAATTGGGGGAGGAGCAGCAAGGACCTACCCCACTGTACTGTGACAGCCAGGGTGCCATTGCTCTTGCTAAGAACCCTGTGTTGCATGGACTCACGAAGCACATGAGGGTGAAGTGGCATTGGACGAGGAGCATGGTAACCGCGGGTGAAGTTGAGTTGCGCTACGTGAAGACCACGGGGCAGCCGGCTGACATGATGACCAAGAGGCTGGTGGAGCAGCAGCATTGGAAGTGTTGCAAGCTGGCTGGGATGGCTCTGAACTGAGAGAGCAACATATCCTAAGGCCAACAATCCGAGGGGGACTTTGTTGGTGCAACCCTACGGTTTGCACTCGGCTTGTTGTCCGTGTGCGTGAATGTGTGTGTGTATGGAATGGTATGAGGGCATGGGATAATATATATTTCATGCTTATAATTGTGTGTGAATGTTGAGTCATGATGTCGAGTGTGTGTGTCGAGTCAATAGCGAGTTATCGCTAGACGCGTGTTACGCGGTCGTTTGTGTCTCGCGCGCGGTTTCTATTTTGTCGTGCGCGGTTTCTATTTTGTCCTGTGTCGAACGTTCGGCGTGTCGCAGGTGTGTGCAGCAGACCCATCAAGAACTCAAGGATGAGTTTGTGATGAAGAGCCCGAGCTTTGGTGTCAAGCCTCAAGTGATTTCGAAGCTTGCCAAAAGGGTACACCTCAAGATATTGAAGATAGTTACATTACTTTGTGTAGTGTAACATTTCACTTGGTGTAGGCCCTAGTGAAGGGTAGTTTCGAGACCCTTCGTGGTTGGGGACAGTGTGGCACTGTTCCACATCACTGTACCTCGGCTCTTGGGGTTTATAGGAGCTGGGAGTCATTCCCAACTCGTAACTCTTCCTATCTTGTGTTCCATAGTGGCTGCCATAGTACCGTTCGTTCAAACTGACGCTGTGTCGTCAATTCTTTATCAAATCGTGCAATCTAAATTGCTAATTGTAGACGACGTAAAGACGCTCCAGATCCAATTTGAATCAAGTCATTTGCAGCTGTGAGCAGAACGCTATCAACGTTTGAAGCCGCTGTGCAGAAATCCGTCTGTGCTCTCTATCTTTCGTTTTAGGCACATTCAAGCCTATTGTGACTATAACAGGGAGTGCACTGCAGTGAGGTCAACCTGTTGGTAGAGGGAGAAAGGGTACATGGAAACAAAAGATAAGTAGAAGGGAGAAGAACGTAGGTTGAATAGCAGGTTGACCAGTAATAGAAGGGAGCAGAACGTAGCACAACAACTCACATGACGTTCCTGGAATAGCAGGTTGAGCGCGTTGAGTGCCGTGTGCACATATGCCAGGAAGAACAGGAAGAAATGATATTTGAACGATGTGACTAGGAGGTACATCGTCGCGTCAGACTCCTCGAGGAGAACGATGACAGCAGGCAAAACGCCGACGAATCGTGCGATTGCGTCGCCGTGACTCAACCAGCGGACGGAATGGATCCCCTGGACCTCGAGGTTGGTATGAGTGAAGTCTTCTTGCAGCTCCTTGAACTTGAGGTTGGAGTTGTTAGATCTGCCGCCACTGAGCGGATAACAGCGTCGATAATGCCAAGCTCTGGTAGTGCCTTAGCCGCATCCTTTGCAGCTAGCGCTTCCCTGCCATAGGGACAATAGCACAGTCGGTCGGTTAGAACTCAAACAGCAACATATCAAGTTCCACATATCAAACAGCAACGACACCAAACAGCAACATCTTACCTGTGTGCGATGCAGTGAGAGGCCACCACGTGCGGGATGTGCAGTCGAAGACGCCCAACGAGGCCAGTGTCATTGCCGATCATTATAGGAGCCCCATCGGTGCTGATACCCGCCACCTTCTCCAGCGGCAGACTGATACTGTCTAGGAATCCTTTGAGCACAGCATGAAGAGATGATGCATCACACTTCTCAATGGAGAGGTTAGCTAGAAACTCGGTGACGACGGCATGCTCACGCAGAATTGTTACGAACAAAATCATGTGCTTCACTTTGACGCGGTCTGTACTCTCGTCGCAGCTCAGACCAATGTATGGACTCGAGTCAATGAACTCTCTCTGGCGCGCACAAAGGTATGTCGCTATTGCGGCAGTAATCTCTTCGAAGCCGTACCTGCACGGGCATCAACACATGTGGTTAGTGATAGACTGAGATAGTTGACACTCTGCACAGATATGTACTAGAGCACTGTTACTTACGTCGTGTAGTAGGCACCATAACCGCTCTTTGGGAAGCCGGGTGTGCCACGCTGCGCCAGATGTCGGACGAGGTCCACGTACATCTCGATCGGGGCATCGGACTTAGCGATGAAGAGTGCGGTCTCAAAGAGCCCGATCAGGCGCTCCTTCTCAAGGTCTTTCACCTACGGGTTGTCGTCGATCCGGCGGTTAGCCTTGAGCGCTGCCTCGGCTGTCCTCTGTCTACGCAGAGCTCGGCGGTGCTTCCTTGTGCGCTGATGCTTCCGCGTTGCCTGGGTCTGCACATCGGTCGCCCCTTCTCCTTTGGCGCCGAAGTTCGTGCCCACACCACCGTGCGCAATGCAGACCGTGCACTTCATTGACAGGAACCCGGCTTTCGTCTGACACAAAACAAGCCACGGGTAGTCGCCAGACCACTGTTTGTTGTACATAAATAAGGCTACCTGATATTTCTCCTCGACTATGTCGGGCAGTTCCGTTTCAGAAGCAGCCTCAACTGCTTTCCCCTTGAATTTACGATGTTGGGCCTTCGGGAAGGAGTTCCCTACAACAGACGTTGGCGTAGCCTGACTGGCACCCCACTAGATCTTCGCCTGGAGGTAATTCACTTTGATACCCCTTTTGAGACGTGGGCCGACGCGAGTAGATCCGGCAGCGATAGGATGACGGTTCCGTGTGGGTTCGGAAGCGGCACGAGTTGATGCGGTAGCGACAGGAGTTGATGCGGCAGCGACAGGAGGTGATGCGGCAGCGGCGACATGCGTCGAACACTCGCTCTGCGTCCAGATGGTAGGTGCCTCGGGGCCCGAGGAAGGGAGAACAACGGCCCGAACTGATGGCGAGACTAACGCGGGAGCAGCTGAAGCTCGTCGTAAGAAGTCAAGGTCAGCAAGGGCGACTGGCTTCGAGGCAGCGTTGGAAACAGGGCCGTCGCCTGCGGGCGACGAATCCGCCATGGCTGATCAGCTCCAAGTAAACCCCCAACTCCAGTATTGAATTTAGGGTTGGGAACTCCTTTCAGAGAACATGCCAGGCGATTTTACCCGGTTGCTATAAATTTCTATCTGTTGATAAGAACCACCCCCATTGTTTCAACGAATTTACAATAGCATACCGTAAGACCCTTGGGTGGTATATCCAGAGCAGGGCCTCAGATTTGTTTGGCCTAGGATGAAAAAACAGAGTTGGTACAAAACGTATTCCTGATAATCAGGCAAATCAGCCATTTTATGCCATTTTACACTACAAATCTATTAAAAATTCCTGTTTCTTTTCAACAAATTGCTGAAAAATCAGCCTCACTTCTAAAAAGGGTCTGAAATCTCAGCCTTTTTCACCTAAATCAACCTTTTTTTCGCTGACTTCTGAGGCCCTGATCCAGAGGATTTTGATATGAGCACAAATTGGATATGGTAGTTGCCTACTCGTTTAGGTAACCTCCATGCAATAATGTTTCTTCTTGTAGAAAAGACGCCGTGTGACATTGTAACAAGGTTATGTTTCTTCTTTTAAGCCAACTCAAAAGTCATCTCCACATTATCCCATCTATGAAGACTCTTCCCTCTTCTTGGCCTTGGGCTGGCAAGTGATCTTGTGCAACGGCCAGTGGGCCTTCTGGCACTCCCTGCTGCAGTAGGCAGCCTTGCCGCACCGCGAACATAGCTTGAGCTGCAACCCCGCCCCTTCCACCCCGACACACTGTGCCCACGAACACACACGCCGCCCTCCCTTGCCACTGCGCCCCTGATCAGAGGCAGCAGCAGCAGCAGCAGCACTGGCAGCAACAGCATCCACCTGAGCCTGGCAGCAGTAGCTGGTCTCCCCCAGCAGCATCTCCCTCAAACACGCCAGAGGATTCACCCCCCCCCGGCCACGGCTCCAGGTACCACGCCCCTGCATTCCCCTCCCGCCCCTCCCCACTCTCTCCCCCTTCTGGGCCTTCCCCTCCCCCATACGAATCTCCACCCCTAGCATCACCAGCGGCAACGACAGAGTCACTCACCGCTTGCCTACGTGCCTCCGCCATGACCTTCTCCTCCTGTAGCACGCGCTTCATGGCCGCACAGCACTCCTCCAACCCATCCCCCTCACCACCAGCCACCCCCGCCTCACCAAGACCCTCCACAGCAGGCCACGCCATAACAGCAGCCCGCCGCCAGCTGTCCACTTCCTCCCACATCCTCCACTCCTCGATCCCCTCCCACCTTCCCTGCCGCCCCAACCTCTCCTCCTGCCCTACCCCGTCCTGCCCGACAGGCTGGAGAATGCTCGTTACCCCCCTCTCCTCCACAATGAGCTTAATGCCACAAAACAGAAACAACACCCGAAGCTCCTCCATCACGCCTTCCAGCAGCGGCGCCACAAGCGAGTCTGGGACCACCGCAGGGATGGGCGCCACGTGCAGGGATTCCAAGAAGCTTCTGAAGCGCGCCGATCGGGGCGGGAAGAGCGAGAGGATGCACTGCAGCAGCGCGGACGAGGGGCGGTAGGCGAAGTTTGCGGCGAGTGAGGAGAAAGTGACTGCATCCTGGTACCCACTGATGCAGTACCGACAGCGGTCGCAGGCCGACGCGGGGTAAAGGACGCCTGCGATCATCTCTACAATCATCTCCACCTCGGTTCTGGACCGTAGGATGGGCTTGATCTTGCCCTCTGCGAACGGCCCCAGAGCCAGAGGAGTCCAGGTTCGATCCTTCAGGTCCATGCAGCTAGCCCAGGAGGTGATAGCCCGGGCCAGAGGACCATTCCTGCCCTCCCTTGCCAGCCTTGCAGGGGCGAACCTTCTCAGAAACTCCTCCACGCGGTGACCCAGTGTGGGGAAGAAGGGGGCCGCTGGAGTTGTTGCGCAGAGTGCCTATGAAATTGGGCGAGCCAGCGAGGGAGGGGCCTGGGTATGGCATGTTGAGCTCCCTCACGTTGTACTCCTTCTTCATCTCCTCGCTGTCCAACTCACCGCCATGAAATGCCCCCACCTGGAAGGTCTTGAGTCCAATAAACTCCCCAGGATCTTTCAAATTCGCCGCCACTGCCGCCCTGTCCCCCTCCGGAAACTCCTTCCAGCCCGTCGTTGCCGAGCCTTCCAGGCCTGGCGCACCTGCAGGCTTTGACACGGCGCCGAACCTGAACATCAGGTTCGGGAGGTCGTGGATTAGGTGGGGAAGAGAAGGGCCTGGATCTTTCATGTAGTGCTGGGTGCAGGCGTCGGCGGGGTTGACCTTGAACCCGTAGAGTCGCACCCATCACAGCAGGCAGGTGACTCGGTACGTGAACAGTGCCACCACCCCGTTACTGTTCACCGGGACAAGGCCGGCGCCGCTTGCAGCACCAGACCCACTGGCTGCAGCACCAGACCCAGCACCAGCAGGAGCAGCAGGAGCTGATGCTGGTGCGTCTGAATCCACTGCTCGCTTCCCTCTATCCTGCACTCCACTTCCCTCCACACTCCCCTTCTCCGCAGCCAGCCGGTTCCGTGCCTCCTCCACAGCAGCGTCCTCTACCCTCTCCTTGTCGCGGCTGCCGGCACAGTCGGAGAAGATGAGAGAAGCTCTCACAGCAAACTGCGGCCGGCAGAAGAGAGTGGCGCACTTGAGGGCAAACTCGGTGGGGTCGGCACCAGATATCACCATGCCACCGCTGCTTGCCGGCTTCGGCTTCCAAGGCCCCTTCATTTTCTCTTCCCTCTGTGCTCTCGCCCTTGGAGCACTGCGAGCAGCAGCAGCGGTACTGCTTGCCTGCCAGCCCTCCCTGGGCGGCAATCTCCCCCACGCGCCGCACATACTCCTCCCACTCAACCCCTCCTAACCCCTCCCTCCACTCCTTCCCCTCTCTTCCCTCCCCCCGGCTCGCTCCTTCCCCTCCCGCCTCCCCATGCGCGCCCCTCCCCCCCGGCAGCAGCGGCAGCATGCGGGCAGCAAAGCTAGTCTCCAGCTGCTGTTTGCCCTTCACTCCCAGCACCTGCAGCAGCAGCGACGCCACGCAGTCGCCCTGCACCTGCTGCCCCGCTCCGAACTGAAACGCCAATACGGAAAAGGCCATCTCAGGGAAGCGCAGGTGCGCGCGCCAGAGAGTGACGAAGCGCGGGAACCTGGCAACAAGCACGAGGAACGCAGCAATGGACACGGCCATGCGGTAGAGCGTCCAGCACCGGCTGCACTGCCAGCAGCACCACCACAGGGCGCGAGGAAAAGGCGCAGCAGCACAACCAGCAGACAGGCTCCGCGCGGCGCTAGCTTCTCTGCGTGCCGCCGCGTATTCATTGACATGCATAATCTCTGCCATCTGCCGCCGTATCTACTGGAAGTCCAGTAGCAGGCCGACGCGTGGCTCAGCCAGCCATTCGAGCATCATGGCCTCTGCTGCAACCACAGGCGCCGCGTCCGCCTTCCATCGATACTGCTGCGCCAACGATGCCGCTGCTGCGCCAGTAGAGGCGCCGCTGGTATTACCTGGAAAACGGCGAGGAGGGGCGGAGAGCGGGACGGTGGCGGAGTAGGCGAGGATGGGCGGCGTGGGCTTGTTGGCGAGGCGGAAGGGCGGCATGGTGGGCACCACGGGCTGCTGCAGGTGCTTGCGCAGCGAGGCCAGGCTTGAGATGCGGAAGGTGATGGGCGGGGCGGGGCGGAGCATACGGGAGAGGCAGCAGGCGCAGAGGGAGTGCGACCACGGCAGGTGCACATCCACATAGTGCACCACGTGCGGCCGGGCCAGCGGCACGTGCTCCACGTGTACCATCTGCCTGCTGCTGCTGCTGCTGCTGCTGCTGCTGCTGCTGCTGCTGCTGCGGGGTCCGCTGCCTTTACCACTGGTACCATTGGTACCACTGCTAGTGCCTGTGGTAGTGGCAGACGCAGTAGTGCGGTTGTCTGCTCTTGTGTCGTTGCCCACGGCAGAGGCAGGAGGGGGAGCGGAAGGTGCGGCGGCAGGTGCAGGCGCAGCGAGCGGGACGGGAGCTGGAGCAGAGACTGGAGCAGAGACTGGAGCAGGGGAAGGTAAGCTCTCGAGTTGGGAGTTCACGACAGGAGTCGACGATAGGTCTCCGGATGCTGGGTGTAAGGCATCCACCCCAGGAGCGACAGCTGCGTCAGTTGCAACATTGCTGGTGCTGTCGCTGGCGTTCCCTGCATTTCCCCCCGTCGCCGATTTTGTCCTCACTGCCAGGACTTTAATCAGCGTACCTGATTTAAGCCTGGCCTTTTCGGCGGATACGGAAGGTGATAAGTACACACTTGCCCAACAGCCATAAATCGAACAACCTGCTTCTCTTCGCTCTTGCTGCTGCCCTTATCCGCGTCATCCTGCTGCCGACGTGTCTGCTGAGTTGGCACGCAGCAGTGCGGCAGGTGGGACTGAAACAGCTTGTCAAATGCTGATTGTAGAGGTTCGTGCAAATCAACGGTAATGGTATAGTCCACGTGTGAAGCTGCTAGCTGTTGGATCGTTCTTTCGTTCGCGGATTTAGCGGTGCGGTCAGTCGCTGTGCTGCTCGTGGCGTTGTCAAGGTGACGATGACTGAGCAGAGCAGCGGGAACCCTAAACCGAAGTGCGAACTCCATGATGCCGACGAGGAAACCACAACCACGAGGTAAAGAAAGAGATGCTGTTCGCCTAACCATAATCAGCTTTTTCCCGGGACACCCATCGCAAATCCGGCGCTTTTGTGAACGTGTAGCTAAACTAGCCGACGCCATTTTGCTAAGTTCATCCCACATCCCATCGCAAATCTGGAGCAGAGGGACAGGTTTCATTCGAGGTTTTATATTAGGACGCGTCACACATGTCACACCAGCTGAGGGTCGGGATCACACGCCGAATTCGTGAGCATGGATCGCCACAGGGAACCGAACTGAAGTTTTGTGACCCGAGATTTGTTCAAGGTGACCCATTCTTGAACAGCTCTTCAATAACATTGTACCGCGCCCCCAGGTCCCACCTCTCGATCCTCGCAGCCCTCATTCACGACTGTCACGACTTCCTCCCAGCCCTCTCATCACGCCTTTCCTTCCCATCACTCCTGGCTCCCCCAAAGCTCTCGTCGCGCCCATAGCTCCCGTCATACCCAAAGCTCTCGTCGCTTCTATAGTTCCCGTTGCTTCCGTCCCTCCCGTCCCTTCCTTCTCTCTCTTCCCTTCGGTCCCTCCCGTCCCTCTCCGCCTCTCGCCTCTCCCCTTTCCCTACACTGTTATACCCTCCGCCCAGTTCAACCCCTTCCCTCCGCGCAGTTCCCCCCTTCCCTCCGCGCAGTCCCCCCCCTTCCCTCCGCGCAGTTCCGCCCTTCCCTCCCCGTAGTTCCCCCCCTCCCTCCGCGCAGTTCCCGCCCTTCCCTCCCGTAGTTCCCCCCCTCCCCTCCGCGCATTTTCCCCCCTTCTCTACGCGCATTTCCCCCCCACGTGCAGTTTCCAACCTTCCTTACTCACCGTTCTCCCGTCGTGGCCTGTTACGTCTTCGCCCAGCCAAAATCCACGGAAACATCTCTCGCTAAAGCTAGCTTACAACTTTTTAAGCCCAGTATTTTTGGAAAATCTGCCACTGTAGGCGCGGGCTTTAATATCTGCCAGATGGCCTCCCAGCCCCACGTTAGGTATGCGCGTGTCCCGACGTCAGACTCCGACGCTGCTCCCGACTTCGCCGCAAACGCATCCGCCGCTCCTCCGTCGACCGCGGGAAGAGCGCGAGGCTCCAACGATGCGGATATCCGCTTCGCCGGTCCTGATATCCACAGACGCGTCCCGAAGCGGTCGGTGCTGCTCGCGTTGTTCCTGCTGTTCCTGGGGTGCGCGTCGCTAGCAACGTTCTACCTCATGCAGACGGGGCAGGTGGAGGCCGGCGCGCAGCAGAAGTGGACGTGCCTCGCCATCGCCTTCCTCACGCTCATGCCCGGTGAGCCTTCCTCACGCTCATGCCCGGTGACCCTTCCTCACGCTGTCCATGCACGCAATCATCAGAAATTTGATCTCAGCAGTACCCCCGATTCCACTTCCACTCCATCCCTTTCTCCCACTCCGCGTATCATGTCGTTGGCCTTTCACTCTACATTATCCCCACTCTGTCCCATTCACATCTGAGACACGTTTGATAGTTCCCAAAGGCGACTCAAATTGTGATTCAGTCACTGCATCAGCATTATCTGAAGCAGTTACGTACATGCATCACCTCTGAATGCATGCATCACCTCTGAATGCATGCATCACCTCTGGATGTCACCCTTTCAGTGACAAACGGATTCTGTGTGCCGTTCTGCCAGCCACTGCAGAGCCGTCTTTACAACCCAACTCTCTGTTGATGTGTCTGCTAATCTGCGCCTGACTCCTTCCTTCACTCGATATAACTAGCATCATTCATTCCTCGTTCCTTCCTTTGCCTTGCCAATGTTGCAGGCTTCTACGAGAGCCGCATTGCATACTACTCGTGGAGACAAGCCCGGGATACTCCTTCTCACAATACCTCGCTACTAGTACTGTAGCTTCATCGGGATGAGCCTGCATGTTGGTGCTCTAAAGCTGAGGGTCTGCATGCCTGCTTGTTCAATATCCTCAAATATCGTACATCTATGCACATACGGTACAGATTGTCATGATTGCCACTGCCAATAAGATCCACTCCACATGTGTCACTTCAGTTTAAAGAAGAACGAAAAGCATTATTGTGGGACCCAAATACAACCTCTGCAACTGGAGCCTTATAAGGTGGGGATATCATCTCAGTTTTGACACTATCCATGGAAAGAGATATCAACACTTTTCCTTGTACGGTACCATAATCTCCGGGATAGAAACCCCAGTGGCAGTGCAAGCATCGTTCGGAGAAGAGGAAGCAGCAACCCCCTATTTTATTTACTGCCACTAATGCAGCAGTTCTTGGTGAGTACAAAACAATGCAGCCCTAGTGCTAACGAAAGCAGCGGCTTTCCTGACCCCCCTCCTGCACACGTGTTTACATGGGATCGTGCAGAATGGCCTTGGTCGAGTCCCCCCTCTTCTGATTCCACCTGCACCTTATAAACCGCGTTCACAACTACGGTATGTTCATGACTGTTGAGTCGACTAAAAACACGCGTGTTCTTCACTGCGCATAGTGCAGCACGGCTTCAGCAGAATCCCCCCCTTCCGACCCCACCTGCATCTTGTACACCGCCTTGACCACTATGTTCATGACTGGCAGGGCCACCACCGTGAGCGAGCCTGGAAAGGCCACCGCACGCATGCTCTTGGCCGCATCCAAAGGGGAGTCAGGAGCAGAATCAGGAGAGTTAGGAGAAGAGTCAGAAGCAGAGTTTGGAGCAGTGTTAGGAGTAACGTTAGGAGCAGAATCAGGAGCAGAGGTGGGAGAAGAGTCAGGCGCGGAGGTAGGGGCAGAGTCAGCAGGAGGTGTGGGGGTGGGGGTGGCAGTAACAGGGAGGTCATTGAGCCACTCGCACAGCTGCACGCTGGGCCTGGGCTGCGTCCACGTGCAGTCCAGCAGGATCTTGGTGGTTTGAGCTGACGTGGCGTTGACGACGGCGAGCGTTGCTGCTGGCTTCAGGGTGCCCCGGTAGAGCAGCACGATGGTCACGTAGAGCTTGTACTCGCTGTTCATGGAGGGGAGGGAGGCGGCAGGAGGAGGAGGGAGGAGGGAGGAGGGACAAGGGCAGAGGGAGGAAGGAGGTACAAGCAGGGAGGAGGGAGAAGGAAGGAGACGGGTATTGAACACGGGCTGATTCACTCGCAAAGCTCATTTTCTAGGATCGTCTTTCGGTTTTTGTAGAAAAATACTCATTGGAAGAGACAGCGAACATGGCGCCTCCTTTGAGCTTATCGCCGTTGATCCCTGCCTGGAACCTTCCAGCAGGAACCCCAACCAGCAGCTCAGGCTTACCTGCAACGACCAATTCAAAAGTTAGTCGACCACGCACTCATTTTGTTAAAACATGTTCACGTGATCGAAATCGGTGAACTGGGTAATAACGGGTCATCTGTCAGGCCAAAGAACATCTGTTCTACAGCAAAGAAACGTGCCGAACACCTGCTCCCTCTTCAAAGTCGGCTTTGCTTTCGCGAGGGCCGATCTCGCAGCGGCCACCACGAGCTGCCTGTTCGAATCCAGATACGTCAATTTCAATGCATACGACCCCACGCTAGCTGTAAACCCGACGCTGTTGAGGTCAGCCTCAGTCAGTGTGGTCTGGCCGAAGCAGTCCCACACGCTCGGCGCGACTTGCGAGCACTGCATGTTGCTTCCGAGCGAAGCCAATGCGACGGGGACACCCCTGCACCTACCTGCGCCACACAGTAGCACCTCCCCTGCGTGCCACCTTCCCTCCCATCCCCCCCAGCACCCACCTGCACGAGGTACAGCAGCACCACGAGCCAATAGCTCAAGGTGCTCATGTCATCGGAGCTCTATCCCACCACCATACCACCCTTCTCCCGTCCCCCTTTCTCCCACAGCACCCACCTGCACGAGGTACAGAAGTACAACGTGGTTGCTGAGCCAGTAACTGAGCGTGCTCATGTCATCGGAGCGCGAGACCATCTGGAAGGTCTCGATGATGCGGTCAAACGCGTTGGTCTTCTCCGCCTGGAACGTGCGCCAGTGCAGCAGCGACCGGAACACCACACACGCTGCGACTGGCTGGCCTTGTGGACCGAAGGGGAAGCGGCTGACTGCGATCTCGTTCAGTAGCACCTCCTGGAGGATGGGGGGAGGGTGAAGGGGGGGGGGGGGGGGAGGGAGGGAGGGGAGGGAACAGGAGGAAGGAAAGGAGAAGTGAGAGGTGGGAGGGAGGGGACACGTGTTGGTCGTTCTGCCAGGTCGCCACAGGTTAAGCCTAGGAGGGGAAGATAAAGCGTGGGAGTGCCACGTTGTTCAAGCTAGTATGAGGGAGACAGGGCAAATCGGCATGGAGGAAACAGGGGAGGGAGGGGAGAGAGATGCAGGAGTGCGGATGCAGGGATGGATTGTAGGAGCGGGCAAGGAAGAGTTATGAAAGATGGGAGAGATATGAAAGAGGGGGAAGAGTGTAGGACATGGAGCATAAGAGGGGAGGGGGGAAGTGGGGTGGGCTCAGATATGGGGGAGGAGCGGGGTTGAGGGAGGAAGGGGAGAGCGAGAGCAGAAGGAAGAGAGCGAGCAGAAGGAAGAGAGCGAGCAGAAGGAAGAGAGCGAGCAGAAGGAAAGAGGAGAGGAGCAGAAGGAGAGAGCGAGCCGGGAAGGAGCGAGCGAAGGAAGAGAGGCGAGCAGAAGGAAGAGAGCGAGCAGAAGGAAGAGAGCGAGCAGAAGGAAGAGAGCGAGCAGAAGGAAGAGAGCGAGCAGAAGGAAGAGAGCGAGCAGAAGGAAGAGAGCGAGCAGAAGGAAGAGAGCGAGCAGAAGGAAGAGAGCGAGCAGAAGGAAGAGAGCGAGCAGAAGGAAGAGAGCGAGCAGAAGGAAGAGAGCGAGCAGAAGGAAGAGAGCGAGCAGAAGGAAGAGAGCGAGCAGAAGGAAGAGAGCGAGCAGAAGGAAGAGAGCGAGCAGAAGGAAGAGAGCGAGCAGAAGGAAGAGAGCGAGCAGAAGGAAGAGAGCGAGCAGAAGGAAGAGAGCGAGCAGAAGGAAGAGAGCGAGCAGAAGGAAGAGAGCGAGCAGAAGGAAGAGAGCGAGCAGAAGGAAGAGAGCGAGCAGAAGGAAGAGAGCGAGCAGAAGGAAGAGAGCGAGCAGAAGGAAGAGAGCGAGCAGAAGGAAGAGAGCGAGCAGAAGGAAGAGAGCGAGCAGAAGGAAGAGAGCGAGCAGAAGGAAGAGAGCGAGCAGAAGGAAGAGAGCGAGCAGAAGGAAGAGAGCGAGCAGAAGGAAGAGAGCGAGCAGAAGGAAGAGAGCGAGCAGAAGGAAGAGAGCGAGCAGAAGGAAGAGAGCGAGCAGAAGGAAGAGAGCGAGCAGAAGGAAGAGAGCGAGCAGAAGGAAGAGAGCGAGCAGAAGGAAGAGAGCGAGCAGAAGGAAGAGAGCGAGCAGAAGGAAGAGAGCGAGCAGAAGGAAGAGAGCGAGCAGAAGGAAGAGAGCGAGCAGAAGGAAGAGAGCGAGCAGAAGGAAGAGAGCGAGCAGAAGGAAGAGAGCGAGCAGAAGGAAGAGAGCGAGCAGAAGGAAGAGAGCGAGCAGAAGGAAGAGAGCGAGCAGAAGGAAGAGAGCGAGCAGAAGGAAGAGAGCGAGCAGAAGGAAGAGAGCGAGCAGAAGGAAGAGAGCGAGCAGAAGGAAGAGAGCGAGCAGAAGGAAGAGAGCGAGCAGAAGGGAGAGAGCGAGCAGAAGGAAGAGAGCGAGCAGAAGGAAGAGAGCGAGCAGAAGGAAGAGAGCGAGCAGAAGGAAGAGAAGAGAGCGAGCAGAAGGAAGAGAGCGAGCAGAAGGAAGAGAGCGAGCAGAAGGAAGAGAGCGAGCAGAAGGAAGAGAGCGAGCAGGAAGGAAGAGATGCGAGCAGAAGGAAGAGAGCGAGCAGAAGGAAGAGAGCGAGCAGAAGGAAGAGAGCGAGCAGAAGTAAGAGAGCGAGCAGAAGGAAGAGAGCGAGCAGAAGGAAGAGAGCGAGCAGAAGGAAGAGAGCGAGCAGAAGGAAGAGAGCGAGCAGAAGGAAGAGAGCGAGCAGAAGGAAGAGAGCGAGCAGAAGGAGAGAGCCAGAAGGGCAAGAGAGCGGAGCAGAAGGAAGGAGAGCGAGCAGAAGGAAGAGAGCGAGCAGAAGGAAGAGAGCGAGCAGAAGGAAGAGAGCGAGCAGAAGGAAGAGAGCGAGCAGAAGGAAGAGAGCGAGCAGAAGGAAGAGAGCGAGCAGAAGGAAGAGAGCGAGCAGAAGGAAGAGGAGCGAGCAGAAGGAAGAGAGCGAGCAGAAGGAAGAGAGCGAGCAGAAGGAAGAGAGCGAGCAGAAGGAAGAGAGCGAGCAGAAGGAAGAGAGCGAGCAGAAGGAAGAGAGCGAGCAGATAAGGAAGAGAGCGAGCAGAAGGAAGAGAGCGAGCAGAAGGAAGAAGAGGCGAGCAGAAGGAAGAGAGCGAGCAGAAGGAAGAGAGCGAGCAGAAGGAAGAGAGCGAGCAGAAGGAAGAGAGCGAAGCAGAAGGAAGAGAGCGAGCAGAAGGAAGAGAGCGAGCAGAAGGAAGAGAGCGAGCAGAAGGAAGAGAGCGAGCAGAAGGGAGAGAGCGAGCAGAAGGAAGAGAGCGAGCAGAAGGAAGAGAGCGGCAGAAGAAGAGAGCGAGCAGAAGGAAGAAGCGAGCAGAAGGAAGAGATGCGAGCAGAAGGAAGAGAGCGAGCAGAAGGAAGAAGCGAGCAGAAGGAAGAGAGCCGAGCAGAAAGGAAGAGAGCGAGCAGAAGGAAGAGAGCGAGCAGAAGGAAGAGAGCGAGCAGAAGGAAGAGAGCGAGCAGAGGAAGAGAGCGAGCAGAAGGAAGAGAGCGAGCAGAAGGAAGAGAGCGAGCAGAAGGAAGAGAGCGAGCAGAAGGAAGAGAGCGAGCAGAAGGAAGAGAGCGAGCAGAAGGAAGAGAGCGAGCAGAAGGAAGAGAGCGAGCAGAAGGAAGAGAGCGAGCAGAAGGAAGAGAGCGAGCAGAAGGAAGAGAGCGAGCAGAAGGAAGAGAGCGAGCAGAAGGAAGAGAGCGAGCAGAAGGAAGAGAGCGAGCAGAAGGAAGAGAGCGAGCAGAAGGAAGAGAGCGAGCAGAAGGAAGAGAGCGAGCAGAAGGAAGAGAGCGAGCAGAAGGAAGAGAGCGAGCAGAAGGAAGAGAGCGAGCAGAAGGAAGAGAGCGAGCAGAAGGAAGAGAGCGAGCAGAAGGAAGAGAGCGAGCAGAAGGAAGAGAGCGAGCAGAAGGAAGAGAGCGAGCAGAAGGAAGAGAGCGAGCAGAAGGAAGAGAGCGAGCAGAAGGAAGAGAGCGAGCAGAAGGAAGAGAGCGAGCAGAAGGAAGAGAGCGAGCAGAAGGAAGAGAGCGAGCAGAAGGAAGAGAGCGAGCAGAAGGAAGAGAGCGAGCAGAAGGAAGAGAGCGAGCGAGAGAGCGAGCAGAAGGAAGAGAGCGAGCAGAAGGAAGAGAGCGAGCAGAAGGAAGAGAGAGCGAGCAGAAGGAAGAGAGCGAGCAGAAGGAAGAGAGCGAGCAGAAGGAAGAGAGCGAGCAGAAGGAAGAGAGCGAGCAGAAGGAAGAGAGCGAGCAGAAGGAAGAGAGCGAGCAGAAGGAAGAGAGCGAGCAGAAGGAAGAGAGCGAGCAGAAGGAAGAGAGCGAGCAGAAGAAGAAGAGAGCGAGCAGAAGGAAGAGAGCGAGCAGAAGGAAGAGAGCGAGCAGAAGGAAGAGAGCGAGCAGAAGGAAGAGAGCGAGCAGAAGGAAGAGAGCGAGCAGAAGGAAGAGAGCGAGCAGAAGGAAGAGGCGAGCAGAAGGAAGAGAGCGAGCAGAGGAAGAGAGCGAGCAGAGCAGAAGGAAGAGAGCGAGCAGAAGGAAGAGAGCGAGCAGAAGGAAGAGAGCGAGCAGAAGGAAGAGAGCGAGCAGAAGGAAGAGAGCGAGCAGAAGGAAGAGAGCGAGCAAAGGAAGAGAGCGAGCAGAAGGAAGAGAGCGAGCAGAAGGAAGAGAGCGAGCAGAAGGAAGAGAGCGAGCAGAAGGAAGAGAGCGAGCAGAGGAAGAGAGCGAGCAGAAGGAAGAGAGCGAGCAGAAGGGAAGAGAGCGAGCAGAAGGAAGAGAGCGAGCAGAAGGAAGAGAGCGAGCAGAAAGGAAGAGAGCGAGCAGAAGGAAGAGAGCGAGCAGAAGGGAAGAAGCGAGCAGAAGGAAGAGAGCGAGCAGAAGGAAGAGAGCGAGCAGAAGGAAGAGAGCGAGCAGAAGGAAGAGAGCGAGCAGAAGGAAGAGAGCGAGCAGAAGGAAGAGAGGCGAGCAGAAGGAAGAGAGAGAGCAGAGGAAGAGAGCGAGCAGAAGGAAGAGAGCGAGCAGAGGAAGAGAGCGAGCAGAAGGAAGAGAGCGAGCAGAAGGAAGAGAGCGAGCAGAAGGAAGAGAGCGAGCAGAAGGAAGAGAGCGAGCAGAAGGAAGAGAGCGAGCAGAAGGAAGAGAGCGAGCAGAAGGAAGAGAGCGAGCAGAAGGAAGAGAGCGAGCAGAAGGAAGAGAGCGAGCAGAAGGAAGAGAGCGAGCAGAAGGAAGAGAGCGAGGCAGAAGGAAGAGAGCGAGCAGAAGGAAGAGAGCGAGCAGAAGGAAGAGAGCGAGCAGAAGGAAGAGAGCGAGCAGAAGGAAGAGAGCGAGCAGAAGGAGAGAGCGAGCAGAAGGAGAGAGCGAGCAGAAGGAAGAGAGCGAGCAGAAGGAAGAGAGCGAGCAGAAGGAAGAGAGCGAGCAGAAGGAAGAGAGCGAGCAGAAGGAAGAGAGCGAGCAGAAGGAAGAGAGCGAGCAGAAGGAAGAGAGCGAGCAGAAGGAAGAGAGCGAGCAGCAAGGAAGAGAGCGAGCAGAAGGAAGAGAGCGAGCAGAAGAAGAGAGCGAGCAGAAGGAAGAGAGCGAGCAGAAGGAAGAGAGCGGAGCAGAAGGAAGAGAGCGAGCAGAAGGAGAGAGCGAGCAGAAGGAAGAGAGAGCGAGCAGAAGGAAGAGAGCGAGCAGAAGGAAGAGAGCGAGCAGAAGGAAGAGAGCGAGCAGAAGGAAGAGAGCGAGCAGAAGGAAGAGAGCGAGCAGAAGGAAGAGAGCGAGCAGAAGGAAGAGAGCGAGCAGAAGGAAGAGAGCGAGCAGAAGGAAGAGAGCGAGCAGAAGGAAGAGAGCGAGCAGAAGGAAGAGAGCGAGCAGAAGGAAGAGAGCGAGCAGAAGGAAGAGAGCGAGCAGAAGGAAGAGAGCGAGCAGAAGGAAGAGAGCGAGCAGAAGGAAGAGAGCGAGCAGAAGGAAGAGAGCGAGCAGAAGGAAGAGAGCGAGCAGAAGGAAGAGAGCGAGCAGAAGGAAGAGAGCGAGCAGAAGGAAGAGAGCGAGCAGAAGGAAGAGAGCGAGCAGAAGGAAGAGAGCGAGCAGAAGGAAGAGAGCGAGCAGAAGGAAGAGAGCGAGCAGAAGGAAGAGAGCGAGCAGAAGGAAGAGAGCGAGCAGAAGGAAGAGAGCGAGCAGAAGGAAGAGAGCGAGCAGAAGGAAGAGAGCGAGCAGAAGGAAGAGAGCGAGCAGAAGGAAGAGAGCGAGCAGAAGGAAGAGAGCGAGCAGAAGGAAGAGAGCGAGCAGAAGGAAGAGAGCGAGCAGAAGGAAGAGAGCGAGCAGAAGGAAGAGAGCGAGCAGAAGGAAGAGAGCGAGCAGAAGGAAGAGAGCGAGCAGAAGGAAGAGAGCGAGCAGAAGGGAAGAGAGCGAGCAGAAGGAAGAGAGCGAGCAGAAGGAAGAGAGCGAGCAGAAAGGAAGAGAGCGAGCAGAAGGAAGAGAGCGAGCAGAAGGAGAGAGGCGAGCAGAAGGAAGAGAGCGAGCAGAAGGGAAGAGAGCGAGCAGAAGGATAGAGAGCGAGCAGAAGGAAGAGAGCGAGCAGAAGGAAGAGAGCGAGCAGAAGGAAGAGAGCGAGCAGAAGGAAGAGAGCGAGCAGAAGGAAGAGAGCGAGCATAAGGAAGAGAGCGAGCAGAAGGAAGAGAGCGAGCAGAGAAGAGAGGCGAGCAGAAGGGAAGAGAGCGAGCTAGAAGGAAGAGAGCGAGCAGAAGGAAGAGAGCGAAGGAAGAGAGCGAGCAGAAGGAGAGTAGCGAGCAGAAGGCAGAGAGCGAGCAGAAGAAGAGAGCGAGCAGAAGGAAGAGAGCGAGCAGAAGGAAGAGAGCGAGCAGAAGGAAGAGAGCGAGCAGAAGAAGAGAGCGAGCAGCAAGGAAGAGAGCGAGCAGAAGAAGAGACGCGAGCAGAAGGAAAGAGAGCGAGCAGAAGGAAGAGAGCTAGCAGAAGGAAAGAGAGCTATCAGAAGGAAGATGAGCGAGCAGAAGGAAGAGAGCTAGCAGAAGGAAGAGAGCGAGCAGAAGGAAGAGAGCTAGCAGAAGGAAGAGAGCGAGCAGAAGGAAGAGAGCGAGCAGAGGAAGAGAGCGAGCAGAAGGAAGAGAGCGAGCAGAAGGAAGAGAGCGAGCAGAAGAAGAGAGCGAGCAGAAGGATAGCAGGAGAGAGCGAGCAGAAGGAAGAGACGCGCGCAGAAGGAAGAGATGCGAGCAGAAGGAAGAGAGCGAGCAGAAGGAAGAGAGCGAGCAGAAGGAAGAGAGCGAGCAGAAGGAAGAGAGCGAGCAGAAGGAAGAGAGCGAGCAGAAGGAAGAGAGCGAGCAGAAGGAAGAGAGCGAGCAGAAGGAGAGAGCGAGCAGAAGGAAGAGAGCGAGCAGAAGGAAGAGAGCGAGCAGAAGGAAGAGAGCGAGCAGAAGGAAGAGAGCGAGCAGAAGGAAGAGAGCGAGCAGAAGGAAGAGAGCTAGCAGAAGGAAGAGAGCGAGCAGAAGGAAGAGAGCTAGCAGAAGGAAGAGAGCGAGCAGAAGGAAGAGAGCGAGCAGAAGGAAGAGAGCGAGCAGAAGGAAGAGAGCGAGCAGAAGGAAGAGAGCGAGCAGAAGGAAGAGAGCGAGCAGAAGGAAGAGAGCGAGCAGAAGGAAGAGAGCGAGCAGAAGGAAGAGAGCGAGCAGAAGGAAGAGAGCGAGCAGAAGGGAGAGAGCGAGCAGAAGGAAGAGAGCGAGCAGAAGGAAGAGAGCGAGCAGAAGGAAGAGAGCGAGCAGAAGGAAGAGAGCTAGCAGAAGGAAGAGAGCGAGCAGAAGGAAGAGAGCTAGCAGAAGGAAGAGAGCGAGCAGAAGGAAGAGAGCGAGCAGAAGGAAGAGAGCGAGCAGAAGGAAGAGAGCGAGCAGAAGGAAGAGAGCGAGCAGAAGGAAGAGAGCGAGCAGAAGGAAGAGAGCGAGCAGAAGGAAGAGAGCGAGCAGAAGGAAGAGAGCGAGCAGAAGGAAGAGAGCGAGCAGAAGGAAGAGAGCGAGCAGAAGGAAGAGAGCGAGCAGAGGAAGAGAGGAGCCAGAAGGGAGGGAGGAAATGGAGTGCGAGCAGCAGGTAATCTACCTGCTGAGTGCGAAAGTGTGTGAAATATCACCCGCTGCTTGTCAACGGGCATGGCGGGATTGGCACTGCCATGCTGGGCCATGGAAGGCTGGTTGTGAGAATACTCGAAACCAGCCTACAAATATAGGAGAATTCTCAAACCCAACCTGGGAGGAGTTTAGCTCGCACCTGCTGCTTGTCGATGGGCATGGCGGGGTTGGCGTTGGCCATGCTGGCCTGGAAGGCGATCAGCCTCTGACTCAGCCGTGCGCACCTCCCGCGCTTTGCTGTGGTGGACACGGGGGGTGAGGAGGATAGATAATGGGGGGGGAGTGAGGAGGTGTGTGGGTGTGTGTGTGCATCAGGGAAGGAGGAATAAAGGGGATAGTGTGGGGGTGTGGATGCATTTAGGAAAGCGCAATGGATGTCGAAGGAGCTTGCAGCTAGAGAATGCATGTTCTGAAGCGACCTCACTCACTCACCCACCACCCGCACTCATCCCACGACCTGCCATCACCGCACACCCGCACTCACCCGAGCAGCTTCTCCTGCAGCTCATGGCATCGCACCAGGGCCTCCCGCATCTCCTCCTCCCTTGCTGCCACATTCCTCTCCGCCTCCTCCGCCCGCGCCCTCTCTGCGCCCGCCAGTGCTGCCGCCACCTCTGCCTTGTGCACTGCCTCTTTGGTAGGCTGCTCGCAGCCAGTTGTTCTCCTCTCGCATCTGATGAGGGAGGTGGGGAGCAGAGTAAAGGACACAGGGATGACATGGGCCCGCATGCGCCGCCAGTGCTGCCGCCACCTCTGCTTTGTGCACCGCCTCCTTGTATGCTGCCCGCAGCCAGTTGTTCTCCTCGCGCATCTGACGAGAGGGGACACGAGGGGGTGGGGGTGAGTTGTAGCGCCGTTGGTGACAGACACATGCGGCCCTGCCTGCCTCGCCACCTCTGCCTTGTGCACCGCCTCCTTGTAGGCCGCCCGCAGCCAGTTGTTCTCCTCGCGCATCTGATGTGGAAAGGGTGTGTGTTGGCGGGGAAGAGAGAAGGGGGAGAAGAGAGGGATAGATGGCAGCTTCTTTCACAAATTCTAGCAATCTTGATATCTGATTCTGAGGCAACCCAAACTCTTGCAGGAATCTCACCTTCTGTGCAATCTCACCTTCTGTGCAATCTCCACTTCGCGCTGCATGCTAGCAAGGATCTTATCAAAGTTGCTCGCCGAAAACGTCAGACTCTTCCCCCTCGGCGTCCCCGCCCCACTCGTCCCAGGCGTGGGCGGAGTCCCCATCCCCATCCCAACCCCTCCCTCGGTGACGCCTCACTAGCCCCGATCCGGGCAGATCTCGACCCCACTCCGCCCAGCTTCCTCCCACTCCACGACCCCTCCTCCCCTCGCCCCACCCGCGCCCCCCCCTCAAACTCCCGGGCCGGCGAGCCCCGGAACGAGCTACTCCCATACCGTCCAAACTCCTTCCCTCCCGCCCCCCCTCCCCCTCCACCCCCTCCTGCTCCAGCCGACATTCTCCTGGGTCTCTCAGAACTAAGAGGGCCCCGTCAGCACTCAAGGGCCCTCTGTCCTGCTCCGCTGCTGAGCCCCCGTCGTGGTCTAAGTCACCGTCCTCTGAGGGGACCTGCCAGCCTGAGCCTGAAGAGGAGGCGGCACGGGGCGCATGGGGCGCCTGCTGCTGTCGCTGGGAGGCAGAGGAGCGCCCCCCCCTGGGCCCACACTTGCTGCTGCTCCCGCGGATGCTGTTCCTGCTGCTGTCCCTGCTGCTGTTCCTGCTGCTGCTCCTGCAGCGGCAGCAGCAGCAGCAGCGCCACTGGTGGTGCTGCCAGCGCCCACGTCCAGAGTGAGTCTATCGCGGATGGCACTGGCACCGGCTGATAGAGGGGACACAGGCCGCGGCTTCCCTCCCTTGTGCTCCTCGCCTCCCGCTGCTGCTGCTGCCCCTTCCCTCGCCCCTCGCCCTTTCCTCCCTGCACCTGCTCCTGCTCTTGCCCCTTCTCCTGAGCTTGCTGCTGCTTCCTCTGACCTTGCTCCTCCTGCTCCTCGTCCCCACTGCCGTCCTTGCCTCTGTTCCCGGCCCTCTCTTCTGCCTCCACTAGATCCGCCTCGCTCTGTGCAGATCTTTCCAAAATGGGCGGCAGGAAATGGTTGGCAAGCGCCGTCCTGTCTGCGCCGCCCTCCACCCCCAAGACAACACACTCCTTCTCCCTATCCCCCTCCATTGCCACCTCTTTCACCTCCTCCACTCCCTCCTCCTCTCCCTCCTCTCCCTCGCCCTCGCCTTGCACAGGCCTCCTTGCATGGTCAGCATACGGGTCAACAGACGCAGCACTGGCAGCAGCAGCAGCAGCAGCAGCAGCAGCAGCAGCAGTGGCGGCGGCGGCGGCGGCGCCACTGGTAAACACCCTAGCCTCATCTCTAGCAGCGGCAGTAGGGGTTCTCCTGGGAGATACAGCAAACGGGGGAGGCCGGCGGGAGGAGGGAGAGGCAAGGGAGCGGAGGGACGAAGGGGACACGGGAATGCCTCCTGATGCCTCCACTCTCCCCGCACACCGAGCACACAGTACAGGCCCTGTGTGCAGAGGAGGGGGTGCACCCACGTGCATCCCTGCAGCCTCTGCCACTCTTCCTGCCGCTGCTGCTGCTGCTGCTGCTGTGGGAGCGGGTGCTGACACTGCAGCTGGCACTGCTTCTGCTGCTGCTGCTGCTGCAGCGGCTTCAGCTCCTCCAGCCTCGTCCCTAGACCCTGCTTCAGTCGCTCCCACCGCCCCGTCAACAGCCGCCACTGCTGC